TCTTTATGTCTTTAAGACATTCCTGCAGTTTAACTCATTGGTGTGTGTTATCTGGCTTCATGGACAGATAGAGCTGGGTGTCATCTGCATAGCAGTGTAAATGTATGCTATGTCTTCTAATGACATCCCTAAGGCAGGGGTTTCATAAATTTTATTTATGAAAGAAAACATTCTGAACTCTGTAAAAAGACACCCTGAGTTGAAGGTCTCCTTCAAATGAAATAAAAAGCAAAGTTAAAATATACATGCAGCAAACCACTGTTTTGATGGACACGTGCAGTCTGCATAACTGTCTCTCCTAACAAGACCAGGTTTCCTCCAGAAAGTTTCCCAATTACCTATGAAGCCCACATCTTTGGTGATCACAGTGGTCGTACACAGGAAGGCAGATGATTACGGTAGCAGGTGAATGAGGTGGAACTCCTACTAGGACAAGCTGAGGCAACTGATGTGAACAGCAGTCTCCCTGAATGTCTCCTCCTGAGGAACGAGGAGGTCAGGTGGTGCAGGAGCAGGATGGGCGGTGACCAGCTCAGTAACAGGAACAGCACTGACCCTGGTGTTGATCACAACAAGCTCATGATGACCTGATGGTGGAGAACATGAGGTGGTCGTGTGTGGAGAAAGGATACAGTGCTGTAGAAACAGTTAAAGTGTGTAAAAGACTGTGAATGTACTGTTTGCTGTCATCTGAGAGAAAACCAGAGTTTCTCTGTAATAAGCAGAGAGGAGAAGCGGTGTGGGGAAAACCTGCAAGCAGGCGTCTGGCTGCACTGCTGCAGGCTTCCAGATACTCACTGTTGGAGGCTACAAGGAATCAGCCCAGCTGTCTGCACGATGTCCAAACTAAAGTCGCAGGGCGTTAGTGGTACCTGTCTGTGGTTCTGACTAATCTTGAATGCCGTGTATGTCCAGCTGGTTACCCACCTTCTCGTCCCCAGGTGTTCCAGAGGAGGACGGACGGCTCGGTGAACTTCTACAGACCCTGGAGTCAATACAAGATGGGCTTCGGTAACCCTGCCAGAGAGTACTGGCTCGGTGAGCAAAGTGCAAAGCTGAAACTCTGATGTGACTTTGTGGACACATGTTGAACCAGAGAAGCTTCACATATCAGAGACTTGTGCATGTTTCTGGTTGTTTATAGGCCTCGAGAGTCTCTTCCACCTCACTCTGAGGAAAAGGTACGAGCTGCTGGTCGACATGGAGGACTTCAGTGGAAACGTGGCGTTTGCCCGTTACTCCTCGTTCTCCATCAATCCAGAGTCCGACGGATACAGACTGCACGTGTCCGGATTCATTAACGGAGGGGCAGGTGGGGAAGTATTCTGCTCTGACTCTGAAAGATGAATAAGTGTCAGGTCTTACATCTGGTTCCTCGTTTAAGCTTAGTTTGAAACCTCCAACAAGTTTAGCTCCAGAGATGTTCCAGCTGTCCCATTTACTGATGATGTCATCACAGCATCATGTGACCTTCGTGCTGTGCAAACAGGAGTCGCTCACCGAGGGCTCTGCTGACTGTTTCCATGGAAACAGATAAAAAGGTTGGAGCTGTATCCCACCACAGATCAGGTGGTGCGGAGACATACAGGATCAGCAGGGAGCTGAACCTGCTTTGAGTCCAGTCTGTGTTGTGGTCCACTGAGAACACTCCCAGTACACCTGCTAACCAGTCTGACTGGGATTAGTGGTAATGTTGGGCTTATTCATCTGTGTTTCTGCAGGAGATGCCCTGAGTTGTCACAACGGACAGAAGTTCTCCACATTTGACAAAGACCAGGACAGCTGGGCCGGGAACTGTGCCAAATCATATCTGGGGGCGTTCTGGTACAACACCTGTCTCGGTGCAAACCCTAACGGGGTTTATCGTTGGGGGGCTGATGGTACTATCTATGCTGTTGGTGTGGACTGGTTCGAGTGGAAAGGTCTTAACTACTCCCTGAAGACCATCAGCATGAAGATCCGTCCTGTGCAGTAAATCCGCAGAACGAACACAGAGGCGTTTATTAAATATATAACTATAAATCTTTTACACATGACTTTTCAAATTTGTACTTTGTTCATTTGATGCATTAACATTTTGTGTGTTTTGTATGAAACTTAAACCAAATAAATCTATATGAAGGCTGTTCAAACTGTACTACAGCAGCACACAATATGAAGCAGTTACAGTAAAACGTGAGACTGTTGCAGATTTTTAATGTGTGTTTTCACAGTTTAACAGTGTAACCTGTTTATCCATACATGACATACTGTGTGCATGTTGGATTTACTTCATTCAACAGTGGACATTGGTTGCACACAGATGTTCTGTGTTGGCAGGACCTTAAACAGTTGAGTTAAATTAACACAAGTGATTCATATTCAATAAACTTGAGCATTTAGTGTTGATTAAATGTGACTGAAACATGTTTTGATGAAGTCATTTGAGCTTCTGGAATATTTGAATCCATCACAATTTTCTCACTTTGCTCCAACACTGTTCAATAACTTTTACCCCAATGCTACTTGGTCACTGAAATACTCCGTGTTATCTTCATATTACATGTTGGTATCATATTCCAGTATCAAATACACAATTTTCCAATGGAGGCCTTATAACAGATTGTAGATGGTTGCCAGGATCCACCAGTAACCTTTCAAAATAAAATGTCTGATTTCACTGCAGTGACAGCAGGTAAAGAACTGACCTGACATCACTGCTCTACTAAATCATAAACCAGCAGTAATGCCAGTTTTTCACTGTTTTGTCGAGGTTCTCAGAGCATCTTTAACTTTCAGAATCAGTATGACACGAGTGTTTCAGAGCAGCAGTCAGACTGTGAGTGTGTTTGATGAAGCTCTGATACCTGATATGAATCATTATCAGATGCATGCTGATAATAAATGAGAAGCAAACGTCTCTTGTTGTCTCCTGTGTCATTCCTTGCTGCCCTCTAGTGGTCACAGTAACAAACTACAGCTCCACCTTCCTCAGGGGCAAAAATGCAAGTATTAAGTTTCCAGATTAATTTAATATCTATTATCAATAATAAATCTATTACCCATGACTTCTCATAATTTCACTCTAGTACTAATGCGATGAATATACACAATGTTCGTGGCTCCACGTACTCCAGCTAGAAACCCTGCCCTCAGTGTTATGCTGCGTGAGCCACAGGTACTCCAGCACCAGGGGAGCACCAGGCGCCTTAAACAGAAATAAACTGATCTTTTCAACATAGTTACCCAGCAGAGTGAGGTGGATCTCCTGAGTGCAATGTGTGATGTTGTTGAGTCATGTGCCATTCAGAGCAGCAGCAGTTGGGTGAGGGGAACCAGTGGGACCCCCAGCTTTTGGGCAAGGGTCTCATCCAGAAAACTCAGCTCTGCTCTGGAGTCAATGTGTCACAATCTGGCTATGAAGCTGAACATGGAGACCTGGCATACATAGAAGAACCTGGGAACATGACATGAACATAGCAGACGACCCAGTTCAAGACCTTCTACATTATCTTCTGTGGATCCAGCCGTGCATGTTTCTTGTTCAAGTTTGCTTATTTCTTTCCAAACTGTTGCTCTACCTGAGCTAGAGAAGCTCGAGTCAAATGCTCAACCATGTGGCTCTCCAAACAACGACATTCCTCCATGTTTTCTTAAAGAGGTGTTTCCTCCCGTTGGACCACATGCTCTGAACTTAATCAGTACCAGCCTCTTGTCAGGTCAAGTACTGAGTGAGTTTAAGCATGCAGTTCCCCGCATCCCTTCAATTATGACAAACTTCAGACCCATCTCTAAGCTTTCTTTTCTGAGTAAGATCCTGGAAAAGATTGTTCACACCCAGCTGATGGACTATCTAAATGTTTTTCAAACTCCAGAAGCTCTTCAGTCCGGTTTGAGCCGTTTCACAGCACGGAGACAGCTCTCATAAAGGTTATGAATGTCATTTTGTTAGCGACTGGTAAACATGCAGTGCTTGTTTTGTTGGACATGACTGCTGCATTTGACACAGTGGATCATGACCTGCTGATCTCTCGACTACAGCATTGTGTAGGAATTTCCAGCTTGGCACTTTCATGGATAAAATCATGTCTCTCTAACAGGAGCTTCTGTGTTGAGTTGGGTTCGGCTTCATCCTCTGTGGCCCCTCTGCCATGGGGTGTACCGCAGCGATCTATTATTACGCCATTACTGTTTCATCTCCTGCCAGTGAGTGCGATCTTAAGAAAACAAAAAGTTTCATTTCATCTATATGCTGACGATTGCCAGCTTCATCTACCTTTCAGTCACTCTGATAGCTCCCCGATTGGACTCCAGCTTGATTGTCTTAGTGAAGTTAAGTCATGGATCGCCCTAAATTTTTTACATTTTAATGAACGTAAAACAGAGGCAATTTTATTCCGTCCCAATTGTTCCCCTGGTACCTCAGATGTTGACTTTGCTGCTCTGACCCCTCACCTGAAGAACTCGATTACTAATCTTGGGGTAAAAATCGACACTGCACTAAGGCCACGTATATGGGGTGGTGAAATCTTCATCCTATCACCTCAGACGTCTGTCGAAGGTTAAGCCTTTTCTTTCCAGGTGTGATTTGGAAACTGTCATTCATTTCTTTTTACAACACAAAATTAAAATGTAACAGTTCTTCTACACAACAAATATTTGTGACATTATTTTAAACTGTTCCAAAGAAAGAAAATCATGTTTACTCACAGGTACAGTTACACATAAACTGAACAAAAATATAAACTCAACACTTTGGATTTTGCTCCCATTTTTCATGAGCTCAACTCAAACATCTGAAAATTTTTCTACATACACAAAAGACCCATGAATCTCAAATATTGTTCTTAAATCTGTCTAAATCTGTGTTAGTGAGAAGTTGTTGTCAGGATAATCCATCCCTCCTCACAGGTGTGTCAAGGTGCAGATTAGAGAGCATGAACAGGTGTGCCTTAGACTGCCCATAATAAAAAGCCCCTCTGAAGTACGCAGTTTGATCACACAGCACAGTGCTGCAGATGTCGCAGCTTTTGAGGGAGCGTGCAGTTGGCATGCTGACTGCAGGAACGTTTACCAGAGCTGTTGCCTGTGAAATGAAAGTTCATTTCTCTGCCATAAGCCGTCTTCAAAGGCGTTTCAGAGGATTTGGCAGTACATTGAACCGGCCTCACAATTGCAGACCACATGTAACCACACCAGCCTAGGACCTCCACACCCAGCATGTTCACCTCCAGGATGGTTGACCAGGTGGAGACCAGCCTCCCGGACAGCTGCAGCAGCAATTAGTTTGCATAACCAATGAATTTCTGCAAAAACTGTCAGAAACCGTCTCAGGGAAGCTCATCCGCATGCTCGTGGTCCTCATCGGGGTCCGGACCTGACTGCAGTTCGTCATCGTAACCGACTCGAGTGGGCAAACGCTCTCATTCGATGGCGTCTGGCACGTTGGAGAGGTGTCCTGTTCACAGATGATTTTACTGTTCAGGGCAGATGGCAGACAGCTTGTGTTGCATCGGCGTATACGACAGCGAGTTCCAGTTCCTGCCAATATTCAGCAACTTTGCACAAGTATTGAAGAGGAGTGGACCCACAGCCCACAATCAACAACCTGATCAACTCTATGCAACGGAGATGTGTTGCCCTGCGTGAGGCAAATGGTGGCCACACCAGATACTGACTGCTTTTCTGCCCCCACCTTAAAGCAAAACCTGTGAGGAGGGATGGATGATCTTGGTAAAGGAAAAGTTCTCACTAACACAGATTTATAAAGATTTGAGATTCATGGGTCTTTTGTGTATCTACAGGGTGGCCATTTATATGGATACAGCGTAATAACATGGGAATGGTTGGTGATGTTAAAGTCCTGTTTGTGGCACATTAGTATATGTGAGGGGCAAACTCCTCAAGATGGGCGGTGACCATGGTGGCCATTTAGAAGTCGGCCATCTTGGATACAACTTTTGTTTTTCAATAGGAAGAGGGCCATGTGACACATCAGACTTATTGGTAATGTCACAAGAACAACAATGGTGTGCTTGGTTTCAACGTAACTTTATTCTTTCATGAGTTATTTACAAGTTTCTCTTTGTTCACAGCCATCGACATGTCGAAGAGGTTAACACGTGAGGAGCGGATCGAAATCGTTAACAGCATGTTGGGACTCTGGGATGGATTCTGGGTCATGGTGGGAAGATGTTCTGACACACTACCCAGAGCTTTCCCGAGCGGCACATATTGATTATTTTAGGACAAAGAAATCAGAAAAATATAATGCACTTAAATGATTATGACAGTGATTTGGTTCAACGGTTGAATAAGGCATCTGCACTCAGGGAACATCTTGATTCGAGATATTTCCTTGGCTCACAGAAAGGACTCAGACTCCTGTTGCCTCATCATCGACCTCGATCTGCCAGTGTTAGCATCTAAATGTACATTACACATGTTACTGTTAATAAGAACCCAGCAAACACTGAACCAAGTAAGAGAAACTGAAACCATCACATCAGGAATCCACCCCCAGCAACATTTTTTTAAAAGACTGCTCGTGCTAAGTGTGTTACTCATACCCAGCGTCCCCGTAACGATAACAGCAGTTTTAATAAGAGAAAACAAGTATTTAATTATGACGTGTTAGAGTAAATATAAGGTTCCCTCAGTAACACCTGTTATAATGCGATTACACTAATTATCCATAAAAGCCCTTAATAATGATTTCATGCTATGTGAGTCATAAAGCTGTGATAAAGACCAAGAACAGTATAACAGTTCACTATCATTCTAGAAAAAATAACATATGCAGCAGCAAGACAAAACTCAGACTAATGACAGTCCACATTTCTTTTTCATTACGTGGCCAGCAGGGTACATGTTTGGGGTTTTCTTCTGTAAGTGATGCCCTGTGAGAACAAGACAATCAGCAGGCTGAAAGGAGCTGCTGAGGTTAGGCCACCGGGTACCACAGAGGACCTTCTGAGGTCTGGCAGAGTTCAGGGACGGGAGGAAGCTGCTGTTACCGGGCAGACCGGCAGCATGGTAGGCAGGGTTTATCTCGCTGGTGCGTGAAATAATATCCCAGCACCAAAGATGTAAATGTTTGCTTGATAGAATGAAGCTAAAGGTATTTTTCGAAAGCATGATACTAAATGTTTCTAACTCTGTGTGACTGACTCTGCTGCTCTAATTAAACTGGGCGTAGGGCAGCAGAGTTGGTTTTGTAATAGACATAGAGGCCTGGGTACACAGCCTCTGTGAAGGTGGTGCGGAAGGTGTGGAAGTGACTCAGTGTGTTATGGGAGACTTTGTAGAAAGACAGAGTGCCAGCAGGCCAGTCAAGAAACACTCCGACTCTGCTGCAGCCGGTACTGGGAAGACTTTCGCTCCACACTTTACCATTATGCCAAGCACTGAGCTCTTGCTCGTACACACCAAAATACCAGGATTTGGTATTAGAACCGAGCCCTGCCTCGTCACTCTTCCCCTTCCTTACAATGCTTTGGTACGTAACAGCTACACCAACGTTATTACTAGAACCAGTACTCCACTCCACTTCCCAGTAATGGCGCCCAGTCAGCCCCTCCCTGCACAAAACCTGAGTCTTTGTATCAAACCTCTCAGGACAATCAGAATACGTCTGCCATGCTCCACACGTTGCCTTCTTGTTGTCCTCAGACAGAATCAGGTAGTTGTTTGCAGTGTTTGGGTCCAAGGTGAGATCACAGGCGTCTGATCAGAGAGAAAGGGACACACTTTCTTACTACTCATTACTATCTGTGCCACTTTACAACAGCAGACATACATACAATAATCTAAGCATTACATGTTTATTCAATATAACCAGCATGCTAATTAGGAATTCAAATAATACTTTTGCTGAATGGCGTAAGAAATGGAAAAAAGTGGACTTACACCAGA